GGAAAGCTTTTGTGAAACCTGCACCAAGACCGAGTTTTAAGACATCTCGTCTGAATTCCCAGGGGTCTGTGACTTCTAGGGACATGCCAGTGACTCCACATTCAGGGGAGAGGACCTGCAAGCCCCAAGCCAGGTGGTAGGGATGGAGACAGAGCAGCTCCGGGACAAAACAGGTCCCGGAAAGGAAAGGGGAAAACAAAGCACGCGGTGAGATGCTGCTTGGTGCTCTTAATCCAACCTCATGCTTCGCTCTGCTGCCAGCCCGGATGGAAACACCAGGCTGGGAGACACAGGGATGCTCCAGCCCTTGCTGTCGCTTTAACCTTGGGAAAGAAAGGGAAATCCAAAGGGGTGGGAGTGCTGGTGCTGTTCGCTTGTCCTGCGCCGAGCTGGGGGAGCAGCGCTGGGGCTCGGGGCTGGCGGAGGGGGAGGTCCTGGCAGAAGTGGGGGTCCCTGGGGGAAGCCCAGGGCAGTGGGGAGTCCTGCACCCCGGCCGTTACCAGCACCTCCCTCCATTGTTTCCCAACCGGCGTTTTTCCCTATGACCTAATCATCCCTTGGCTCTCGCTGGTAATTTTATGGCAGGGAAATTATTTTGCAGTAAAAGGAAAGCAGATCCAGGCCATTCTCTTCCCTCTTGTTTTCATAGGGGGTTTGGAGCGGTGGTTTTTGTTTTCTGCTTCAGGCACTGCAGAAGGATTGTACGAGGCGAGATGGGGAGCGAGCGCGTGTCGGGTCTGTAACGCTTTCTTGTTCCTGTAAGAACACGAGAAGGCAACTGGGCAAGAGAGATTGAAACAATTTCCCCCATGCAAACCAGCTCCGGACACAAAAGCTTTTTAGTTATCATCAACATTTTGTAAGATTATCTTAAAATAAACCTTCAGGCTCAGTTTCCTGCTCTCAAGAACCCCCTCATAGGATTATAAGGAACAGAAACATCGCCCAGAAATCTCAACCACGGACATACTAAGAATATTTTCTCCCTATTCTTGAACAAACAACTGCCCTCCACACTGTAAAAGCCTCAATACAAGAAAAGAGGTACTAAGATCGGAGCTGTGCCATATGCAGATCCCCCAGGGTGTAATTTTCCCTCTTGCCACGAGGAACAACCCTCCGGATTGAGGAATTTGCAGCGGAGCCGTTCCTGGAACGACGGCGTTTCACCCTCGTGTCAACCTTTCCCACCTCACACAAGACATAAGAAACCACCTGGAGAACATCCCTCCGAGAGGGCAGAGAGGAACTTTCCCACAGTCGCCACCTTTCTACCAGTCAGCTGAAAGGAAGTTTTTTTTTAAGTAAAGCAACCAGGAGAAAAGCAACCAGGGGATCAGTCGGGAGCTACAGACCCAGGAACCCAGCACAGCCACGAGCACGTACGTTTGGAGGGCTGGTTGACCATGCAAGACTAAATACACATACTGAGAGCGTGCCAATATACACCTAAAAAGAGAGACTGGCATTCAATCTCCCTTAGAAACTCAACGACCCCGTCATATCTGCCCTAGGAAAAGGGCACCCGGAGCCATAATTTCTCGTCTTCCCTCCAGTCGCCCAGAACCAGGCTTGTTCCTGAGGTTGGGGGGGTCCGCACTGAGGATGAAACAAGGCAAGGTGGCACGGCCAGGGCCAGCACCACGGGCTTGGGGCACCCGAGCAAGCTCCGAGCAGGAAGAGGAGCCGAACGTTTGCTCCCGAGCTCGGAGCCGGGAGCCTGCGTGTGAGCGCACGAGAGAGAGCGTCTCAATTTTAATTGCAGCCTCATTGCCAAGTACAACAAAGTCCACGTACAAAGAATAGAAGTCATTTTGTCTTGAGGTTTGAATTGTTTCTTTCCTAAGGGGCGGGGAGGGAGGTGAAATCCATTCCTTTATAAGCAATGACTCAGGTGCTACGATCTACCCTGGGCGCGCATCTTGCAAGCCCGAGTAATGTTTTGTGCCGTGTTTCGTTTGACGGCATGGGCCCTAATAATGGGATTATTGTTCGGTTGCGTGCAAAGCCCTCGCTTGGGGTTTTTCTGTCCCCGCCCAGCCCTGCAAACCGCAGCCGCCTTCGCCTTCCCCAGCACCCCGGCGCGGGCCGGTGAGCGCCCGGCACCCGTGAGGGCCCACCCGCCCATTCCTGCTCCCTGACTCACTGCGCCGTGCGCTGGGTGACGTGACCCGTGTCACGGCGGCGTGGGGAGAGGAGTGATTTCCCTGCCCCGGTTGCACAACTGTAACCACGGTTCTTCACCGCGTTCTCCCTGGCCAGGAGCGAGCTGAGCCGGGCAGGGAGAAGGAGCTGCTGGGGAGGGAAGAGCAGCAGCCGAGCAGGCATCGTGCCATGGTGCCAACCTCTGCGCCCGCCACGTGCCGCCCTGGCACCCGCCGGGAGCTGCCTGGCATCACGCGGAGGCAGGGAGGAAGGTGGGATTTGCCCCAAGCAGAGGGGACGATGGCCCTTTCTCCTTGCACCGGCAGCTCCGGGTTGGATGGAGCTGCCGCCTCGCCGTAGGGAGAAGCCCAACTCTTTGCATTACACACTCATAGCCCCAAATAATCCCCTCTCAAAGCCCTAATTCCCCGGCAAACACGGGTACGGTGCCGCGCAGCCGAGCTCTCAGCAGCTTCTCTATCCACCACTTAGTCATAAGCACGACCCGAGGCTCATCCCAGGCAGCTCTTCGCTCCGCAGAGGAGTTTCCCCGTGGGCTCCTCCACCCTCTTCTCACCAGCCATTAACTGGGTACCGTGCCCACGGCAGCAAAGCGTCTCGGTGAAAAAAAAAAAAAAAAGCACAAGAAAAAGCAGCAAAACACACCCGGTACCACATCGCTGGGCTTTTTTGTTGGGATTTTTCTTGGCGAGTCTCTCCAAGCACCAGCTCCGCACCCGACACACACGTGCGTGCACACGCAGCACCGAACCCCCGCCGGGCTGCGCCTGCTGCCAAATGCAGCCACCTCCGGGGCTGTGAGGAGTCGGGGGCTTTTCCAGTTCTCAACTAAATGCTCGGGTCACCCTCCGCAATTAGCAGGGCTTGCAAAACCCCAAAACATCCATAAAACCGGCAGAAAGCAGGCCACAAACTTAGGCTGGGGTTTGGGGTTATTTTTTAAGCCCACGGTACGTGCGCTGTTTAGGAAAAGACCTTTCACTTCACCTTTTGAGGTCTGAGGCTTCTGGATGGAGGGGAGGCACAATTTAAGTTTTCCTGCAACCAATGCAAAAAGTTATTACTGCTTAAAGACAAACCCCAAGAATCTGGAGTTTTTCTATGCGCGAAACTACCGAGAAATTAATCCTAAACCAAGAAATTAGGAGAAATCACCAGCTTTGAAGCTACGATTTGAAATTACGCTTGGAAGGGGCTCAGAGGACATTTCAATCGGGTCCAGTGCCCCTCCGAAGGCTGAGTGCCTCCCAGCAAAAGGCTGGAAAGAGAGACCCCCCCCTCCCTCCCTGTGCTGGGCTCACCCCGAGCGTGGGACAGGGGGGGACCCCACACCGTTGTCAGAGCCCCCCCCCACCCCGGCACACACAGGCAAGGGTTTGGGGCTGAGAACAGCCTGGTCTCCCCAAACCGCCCTCTCCTTCCCCTCCAGGCCGGTGTCGGGGTGCGAGCCGGTCCCCCCCCAGCCCGGCCGAGGAGCAGAGCCCGTCTCCATTTTGCGGGGCTTGGCTGCGTGTTTCTATCTCCTTTGCTCCCAACTCCACCTTTTCATTGACAGCTGCTGTTTCCACGGGTAATTTCAGGCCTGGCCCCCAGCCAGCTTTTCAATCAGACCAAGGAATAGATATATAATTTCATTTCCCTCCAGGGGACAAACAGAAAAAGAGGATTTTCATCTGTGCTTTCCACGTCGCCCTCCCCACTGGCTTCCTCCAGGTCCGACGTACCTAATTATCTCGGCTGGCTACATCTAAGTGGCATTAAATGTTTTATGTGATATTATCTCGCAGCAAACTGATTACAAGGCTGCCTTTAAAAGTATAATGTGGGGGTTTTTTTGGTACCGATTTACACCACACACCAGAAATCGAGTAAGAAAATATCATCAACAGCCTGCGAGAAATCCCGACCCGTGGACACCCTGGAGGTTTTTAACACAAAGGTTTTTTGGCTGGAAAAAGAGAGCTAAAAGCTTTTACAAATAATTCTAGTGGGTCTGGGAAAGGAGGTGAGGAGCAGTGGGAGATCACCCAGCCTTTCCACTGGTGGCACTGGGAAGGAGGCACTGGGCAGGTCCCTTCCCTGTCCCTCCTCAGGACTGGAAAGATTTTTAAAAGCAGGATTTTTTTTTTTTTAAACCAGCTCTCACCTGCTGCTTTTAAAAAAAGGGTCCTGACACCCCCCTGCTTCCCCCACTGAGGGCCATAACCCCGAATTTCCCCTGTGCCCGGAGAGACACGGCTCATCCCCGCAGCCCCGTGGGTCCCGGCGAAGGTCGGGTCCCCCCTTCCCAGCCCCGTCCCCCAGGACTGTGGTGCTGCTCCCCGCAAAACCAGCATCACCCCCCAGGGCTCATCCCGGGGCTGCGGGATGTTCTCACACCCCTCCATGGGGCCGAGCCCCACCAGCGACGGCACCTACACGTGTGTGCGGGTGCAACACCCCCCGTGTGCGACGGCAGAACCTGCACCCCCAGGTGGGTGCAGGCAGAGCTGTTTTTTTCCCCCCGGGGATTTCTTGCGGTTGCTTTTTTTTCTGAGTCCTAAGGCATGACCCAACCCTGAGTCAGGCGTTGGGCCCGGGGACGAGCCGGTCGGCTGCAGTAAACCCAGTGAACACTAAAACACACTCACGAGATGCCTGGGTGAGGAAAAACGGCCTTTCTTCGGCTATTTTTTCCCTTTTTTTCCTTCCCCAAAGAGGCTGCCTTCCTGGTTGAGAAGCTGGACCTTTGACAAGCCAAGAACAATTAAGCTGGAGGAAAAGAAACAGCAGAAGGGAGGGAGGAGAAGCAAAGGCACGTCTTCACGGCATTAAAATAAATCATCGCAAACTCGGAATTTCCCATTTATTGAAACCAATCACAGTTAAAAGGTCAAATCCATTGGCAACCAGTAGCCTTGTATCATCCAGCGTGACACGCAAATGAAGTACGAATTAAACCCAACCAAAGAAAAAAAAAAAAAAAAAGAACCAAACAAAACCGCATGGCTCTGGCTTAGTTTATTCCAGCCTGTTCCCTCTGGCTGCCCCTCCTGCAGGACCGAGTGGTGGCCCGTGACCGCCCGCTGGTAGCCCCGCTCCCCAGGTTGCTGGCGGCAGCCAGGTGATCCAGTTATTCCCACTGAAGGGTCTAACGAACCCCTCGTTACTGAAGACAGAAGCATCCTTGGGGAAGAGGGAGGTGAGGTTTACAGCATCCTTCCAGCTTCGGCGTTTCGCTCCTCGCTGCGGGCACGGGGAGGGACGGGCAGGGCTCGCTCCTCAGCCTAGAAAGGCCTAATCCTGCCTGCTCAGACTCAGCCGTCCAACAAGAGATGCTGGAAAAGCAGAGGGCGAAGGGGCAGGTACACGGTGCGTGTTTCTGGCTCTTCAGGTAGGATAATTAATTCACCCTGATGAATTATTTCATCCTGATGCTGCTCAGGAAGACGAGAGCTCCCGGCACGTTCAGGTCCTGACTCAGCTCCAAGCTCTTCTGCGGGGCGAAGAGCACCCAGGGCCACGGCCGGGGGGAACCCGCGTTGGCTCTACGGGGAGTCAGAACCAGTGGAACCAGCAGCTGTAAACCAGCAAGCGCTTGGCAAGGCCAGGCCCAGCCCGCTGGCCACCAGTCAGGCAGCACATCAACCCCAATGTGGGTGACCACACCTTGCTTTTGCAAAGGGTACATGCTAGAAAACATAAATTATTCTTTCCCCCCCCCTTTTTTTTTTTTTTCCAGAGAAAACCTTGGGGTATTGAACACAATGCACTGCATCAACGCACCACTTATGAGATAAACTCAGGAAAAAATGACATTTCTCTCTTACAGAGATCCCAAGAAAATTCATTTTTATTTGCCTGGACTATTTGCATCCATCAAAACTAATACCCTAAGACATTCCCAAGGACCAGCAGGATCCGCAAGACCTGCGATCCCACAAAGTGTTGTACGTGTTACCTCAGCCCTAACGCCTTCTACCTGCCCTCCAAAAAACCTGTGGAAATCGAGACTCTGTAAGGAGTTTACTCCATTCAAATGCCTTGGTACTTCACCACGGACCAGCTTAAACACGCGACAGTGAATTTCTAATCTTCTACAGAACAAAAATGATCAAAACCCAGAGTGACCTGACTCAGAGAAACCAGCCCAGCATGGAAGGGAAAGGACAGGGTGACCTGCAGCCCAGCCAACGCGTCGTCCAACGACCCTCCCAAGAGAAAAAAAAAAAAATAATCTGGTGGCGAAAGGAAACCAGGACCCGCGAGGAACCACCTGTATTTGTGCTTTGAAAACCATCGACATGACGTTGGAGGGAAGAAAGAGATATAAAATTATAGGAAATCAACACCAAACCAGATCCAAAAAAATATATATACAAAGTCCAGAGGGTAACGCGTGTCCAGTTCCAAACGCCGCCGCACAAGTGGCTCTGAAGTCTTCCCCCGGGGAGCGGCGCTCTGCCCTACCCGAGCCCAACGTCCAGGGACATCATCACCACAAATCCCAGTATGGAGGTCCAGGACGCCAGCTTCCCGTTGCCACTGCAGAGAGAAAAGGGGAGGGCGTGAGCTTTCCATCTGCCCCCGGGGCGAGGGAAAGGATCTTCTGGGGTCCTCCGTGCTTCCCGCCGTGTCCGTCTGCCCGGTGGTCCCCGCGGGCTCTCACCTGGTCTGTGCCTCGGGGATGATATCGTCCATCACCACGTAGACCATCGCTCCGGCCGCGAAGCCCAAGGCATAGGGGAGGAGAGGCTCTGCCACCACCACGGCGAAGGCACCGAACACGCCGGCTAAGGGCTCCACCATGCCGCTCAGCTGCCCGTACCTGCGACAGACCGAGACTAAAAGCCACCGGGGCCATGGCCCGAGGGGTGGCGCAGCCCCCCTCCCTCCCTCTGCACCTCCCCATCCCCACGGTCTTCCCTAAGGCCACCATGGCCAGGAGGAGGCCGGTCACCCAGACAAACCAGGCCAAGCTACCTGGATTATTTTAAACGGGCAAGGAAGGTGATTTAACCTAACCGAGCGGATTTTTTCAGGAAGGGAATTAAGGCACGATCCGATTCCTTCCCCCAAAAGCTCTGTGAGGTTTGGGGATCCAGCTCGTGGGCAGGGATGGGTCACAGGGGAAACACATCCGACCGGCGTAGCTCAGTCCCAAAGAAGACATGTGCCCACAGCCTCAACCAGGATGAAATTGGGCTCTTCCCCCTTGTTTTCTTTCCCTCTAGGACTAGTTTAACTCTGCAGACCATGGGAACTCCCTTCCCGGCAGCAGCAACCCCAGTGCAAGTCCCAGCACTGGCTGTGCTTACTGAATTGGAGGTGGGTGGGAGGAAAAGAAAACAAAGCTTTGGCGAGAGCCGTTTCCAAGCCGCCCCCCTGCCCTCCCATCCATCACCCGGCCAAGCGCACGTGCACGGGCAGGAACGCGGCCCTGCGCTCGCAGGGTTCATGCCCTTGGCTTTTTCACCTCCGGGAAAAGAAAAAAAAAGAATTAAAAGTGTGTTTGAAATCCAGCCCAGAGTGAAGCAAGAGAAAAAATGAAACAAAACAAACAAACAAAAAAACCCAACCTTTTTTTTTAAAAAAAAAAACAAAAACCCAAACTTCTTTAGTGCGGGATCTGGGCGCTGGGCAGGCACCTGAAGCAGGATGGGGCGACCCACCGGGATCATGCAGCTCCGTGACAGAGCAACACAAATGGATACAGGGAGGAAATCTCTAGGCGCCCGCTCACGCAGAGCTGCTGGCAGAGGGCTCTTGCCTCCACGCGTGAAGAGGAGCTCGGCTTACCAGAACGCTTTCCACGTTGAAAATCCAGCGCCACGCAAAGGCAGGCTGACGGCCAGGCCCTCCGGGAAATTCTGGATCCCAATCCCGATCGCTAAGTTCCTATCCACACACAAAAAAAAAAAAAAAAAAAAAAAAAAAA